ACTGCAGCCGACAAACATGGACCAACATGAACCGCAATTAGCGTCCACACCGAATGACCTGGACTGACCCCAGACTGACTCAAAGTTCAGTTGCCAATTAGCAATTACGGCATTGCGACTGCTAATCAGGTCCATCACGGGGTGACGCAAATTACAACTCCCAGTTAACGGCCGCACTAGATGACTATATAACTGTATTAGCACTTTGAAATGCTTACTGTTCTTTGCACATTTTTCTCAAGTCTGACGACGACCTGGGGATCCAGTGTCGAAAATTTACCGAGTAAATTTACTCATTTTCCCAAAGGACGCTTTTCCTTGAAATTACATTTCTTGGGATGTCTATCTTTCAGTTTACAGGAAAGTATGTAAAGTAATAACCTGATTAGGGCTAGGATAAATGGTTCCTGTCTCAGCTTTGAAACCGTTGGTTTCTTGTTTGTGCAATCCTTCCAATCCCTGCATAAGAGAGTCGGCCTGAAAGAGGTAAACCCTCTAGCTGCACTAAATTCCAGCCCTAATTCTGTGTAAAGCAGTCCAATTAGTAAGACCCTTGTTCTGACAATGCTTGGTTTCGCACAAAAAATTGCTCTTACTTGTGGATTTTCTCTTTTAAAAAGTGACTAATAAACTCCCCTGCGGGTATCGAAACTCTCTTCAGTTTAGGTATATTTCCAGGAGAAGCATTCTCATCCCCTCAAGCGGACAATTTCTACACATTAGCACAACGTTTTTACGTGCATAAGCTCAATTTTATCTCATCATTTGAAAGTTAGATGAAAAAAATAAGAGCATGCGTTTCGCAAACTCACAGTTTTTGCAACAATATATCCTCTTCCGTGTTTTTGTGCAACAGTACGGGCGATTTGTTCTTGGTTGGGAAAATCGAAAGTCTTTATGGGCTCTTTGATTTGAACAAGTTGAACTTTAGCCAATTGCACTTCTTTGGCTTTATGCTTCGATAGCAGGAAGGTGCATATATCACCACAGGAAATTCTACCCAGTCCATCCACATCGATTTCATCAAACAGTTTTTTGACCATCATTTCCATCTAAAACTTCAGTTGAACCAACACGGAGAACCGGCTACCTGGGCTGGCGGTAGCTTAAGGTGCAACTTCATAATACTCCGAAAGGCGTCCAGATCAACATATCCGCCCTGCTTCTGACTAAGTTCCATTAGGGCGAATTGGAAGCATTGTAAGTCCTCAACTTCTAGTTGCTCCATGACCTGAAAGGTAGCTTCATGTAAGTTCTTTAAGTGAACCCACTTTTGTTCTAATGTCGGCGCCAAATGAAAACGTCTTGACTGCGGAAAGGGAATCCGAACTAGCGGAACGGAACTTGCGCTCGAGACCCGGATATTCATCTTGTTCGTGTTTATTTGACGTGGACACCTGCGTACTGAAGAGCGACAACATAAAAATGACTGCCGACGAACCCCAAACGCAGTTGGTTCCATTTCTGAGCAAAGAAAATGCTATTTCCTGCCGATTTTGACCGTCGTCCGCAGCTCATTTCCACAACTATACGATTACCGAGCACGGCATTACAGGGCCTGAGCTAGCTGTTGTTGCTCGCTTTCAGTTGGTGGCAGACGGCCCAATCAAATGATCGGTGAAATGCAATTATGTCTACTTTAGTAAAATAAGTAGACTAACAGTATAACTTTAGCAAGGACCGGTTTTACCCTGTTTGTGTGGAATTTCTGTTTGATTTCATACATGGTCAAACGTCTTTCCTAACAAATGGTACGTATTTAATTGAAAGCGTGATTTTCATTAGAATAAATTTCAATTATTACTTGCCATTTATTAATAAAAAGCCAATCAGAATATGCTTGTCATAATAATAATTTATAGTTTCAGTAGGACACAAGCGTCCGATAAAGTCTCATCGGACCAGTACATTTATATGGCAACAGGGTAAAAGTTAAAACATGTTCGTCCTCTTATCCAAGCGGGTCATGGGAATAGGGGGAGGGGTGGGGCGGGGATCGACGAGCAAAGGCTGGTTTAGAAGAAGACGACTCGATCACTGGGACAATGTGTTTATTCGCCTAACGTTTCGACATCTGTCGCGGATTCATCATCAGAGACATAATCCCAGAAAAGCAGCATATCCAGGTAGTTTGTGCAAAGGAGTCTGCCGTAAAATTAAAACGTGCAGAAAAAATCGATAAATGCTTGGAGTGTGCGCTGATTCATTATGTCAGCAATGACCAGCTGGCCCTGCGGTGTTGGCATAAGATGATGCGGTGACCTGTCTGTTCCCCGAGCGGCGACTTACTTTGGCCAAATTAAGTCGCAGCACCGAATATGGATTGGGCAAATCATTGCACTTGATGATGGATTGGGGGCCCGTGGACTATGACTCAAGTAATTCTTGGCTCACTCGATTGTCACCTCTTGCGAGAAGTTTGACCTCATCAAATTTGAATGTGTGGCCGGGTCTTGTCGAATGAGCCGCGACCTGAGAACTGAAATCATTTCGCCGCACCGCTGCCGCGTCTTCGGCAATTCGTGTCTTGAGAAGTCTGCCAATTTCTCCCTCATAGTTGCCTTGCCCGCAACTGCACCAGATCCTGTAGACGACTCCAGATGTTTTTTGCCGTGGCAGTGGGTCTTTCGGTTTCATGATGTTACGCCTTATGATTGCTTCTGGCCTGTGTGCGACTCCAACTTCAAATAGTGCGAGCAGGCGGCCGACACCCTCCGAGACGTTTTTGACTAAATTTGGTCGAAGCAAGTCACCGGTCGGCGAACAGACAGGCCACCACATCTTCCTATGCCAACATCGCAGGGCCAGATGCC